CAAAAATAAATAAATAAATAAATAACTGAGTAGACAGTGGTGTAGCAGAAAGAACACTGATTTAAAGGCATGGGCCAGACTCAAATTCCAGCTCTGATACTTGCTAGTTGTGTGACTTTAAACATCTAATTTAACCTTCTGGGTCCTCAATTTCCTTATCTGTAAAATGAGGGAATGGGACTGGATTATCTAGAAGCATCTTTCTAGATCTGAATGAAATGATCCCTTAGATCATGACCTGGAAAGCCAACAGTCAGTGGGAATGGTAAAGGGAAGCCAAATTTCCAGATGACACAAGGGAAATGCAATATGCTGTAAGTTCTTTTCAAAACACCTTTCCCTTCTCACTCTCATACCCTTCATTCCCTACAAACCTTAACTGGTAGTAACTGGTCTAATATTCTTGCTTCACACCAGGCTTCATCTGGTACTATTCTAATGTGGCAACTTCTGGATGATTTCAAAGCATTTGACAAATATTAACAGCCTCAGCCTAGCCCTGATGAGTAAACATCCCCACTTTATAAATGAAGAAACAGAGGCACAAGATGATGCAACTTATCCTGAATCACAAAGGAAGACACTGCAAAGTTAGGATAAAGGAAACCTATTTGCAAAAGGCTATTCTGCTGTAAATTAATTTATTGAAGAAAAATTCAGTTCAAGTTCAAACACTGCACGGGGGCTTATGATGTGCAAGGCAAAAGACAATAAGTCATTCCAAAAGCTGGCTCCAGCCCATTTCTCCAGCCTTACTTCACATAACTAGCCCTTCACACTGCTGCCAAACTGGCCCACCAGCTGGTCCGGAGCTTCACCTGCCTGCTACTTCCTATGTCCACACATTTGCACCCACCTTTCCCCATGCTTGGAACAGCGAAAGCCTTCAAATATATGAGTTGCTAATGCTACAACACTAGCAGTAGGATTCAAAATCCTCCTCCTCCTCCTCTTCCTTCAGGCTTGAGAGAGGGGCCATATCCTACATGGAGCCCTTCCGGATCCTTTTGGCCCAAAGGGCTCAAAGGGCCCTCCTGGGAGAGGACTCAAGTCTTTGTTCTCCAACGTATTAGACATTTTTGTAGATACGTTTTATTCTTCCCCCTTTCCTTTCCACATTTGTTTGTAAGCTCATTATGAGCAAGGACTCAGCTGTTCTTTCAAATTTGCATTTCTGGCACCTAGGACAGTACCTAATATAGAGGAAGCACTTAAGATTCATTTATTTTTGCTATTCAATTCCACACACATCAAGTGCCTGGAACGACAAAGATGAAAAACTACACATTCCTGCCCTCGAGGAGCTTACAATAAAACAGCAACAACAAATTTTCTGGATGTCTTTTGCTTTTATATCATAGGCCTTTCTAAAAACACCCTTGCCCCTCACTGAGATCCCCATTATACAAACAACAGAAAAAAGAAGAGGAAAAACAACCAGTTGAGTGACTGTGTCTGACAGCAGACCCATAGTCCTGCAAACTCCACAAGAAGAGAGGCAAGCATGTTTCATTATCTGTTTTACTGGCTGTCATAATGATCAAGACTGGCTACTATAATCAAGACACAAACAATCAAACAGGAAATTGGAATTATCTAAGAGGCAGCAAAAGGAACAAGGAAAAAGTCTATTATATAGGAAACAACCAATTAATGCCAACCTAGGTATGGGAGCACACTATTAAAGCAGTGCTACGTAATAGTCAAAGAAGCCCTGAGTGCAACGATGCCAGGACGGGCTGCCAGGAGTTCCTCCTACTTATTAAGAGCTCATTTTTCTTAGTAGTTAAGTTGCCATTCCATTATCATGGTAGAGGGGTTTTTTTTTTTCTGCAAACCTCAAACAATCCCGTTATCCCCATTGCTTAATCGGTACAGAAGTCCAGGAAAGCCTAAGTGGGACGTGAAAAAGAGGCATCAAACATTTCCAGGAAATTCACTAAGTGGAAAAGGAACAAGAGACCTGGGAACCACCACTTGAAAGGATCCACAAGACAAAGAAGGGCACCCCCATGCAGGGCTGTGAGTCTCTGAAACAAACCCGGTCATAGCCTGTTTTAATTCAACAAGCATTAATTAATCACTTACTATGTGCCCAACACTGTGCTAAGCCTTAAGAATACACTTAGAAAAGAAAGGCAAAACACCCTGCTCCCAAGGAGCTTCACAATCTAATTGAGGCAACAACATGCACATAACTATACAAATTACATATATATATATATATACACACACACACATACACACACACACAAGACAAATTCAGGGTAGTCTCAGAGAGTCGGTACCAAGGTTAAAGAGGGCTAGGACAGGGTCTTGTAGGAGGCAGGCCTTTGGCTGAGACTTGGAAGAAGCTGGGGAAGCCAGGAGGTGGAGATGAAGACAGCCTCAGGCATGGGGGAGAGCCAGTGACAGTACCCAGAGAAGGAGAGGAAATGTCTTTTAGCATATGTTAACTTCCATGCTCAAAGTTCCTACTGTGACAAAAGCAAAAAAGCTGGTCTAGATGCTCTGAGGTCCTGTGTGATTCTAAATCTATGATTGTGTGCTTCTCTGAGTTAGGTGCCACTAGCTGGACTCCACCACCTAACTCCTACCATTGCTCGTGATCCCCATAAGCACAGCTCCCATCTTTACTGCATTTTAATGTTTACAGAGCTCTTTCCTCACAGCCCCTGTGAGTCAGAGGTAGGATAGGGAAATTACAGAAATAAAGTGACTTGCCCAGCCAGAGTCAAAGCAGGACTCCATTGCAGTCTCCTGACACCAATGCATCAGCCTTCTTTTCACGTGACACCAGGCTGCTCTTGGGGCAGGTGCTTACATTTTAGTGAGTTCTCATTAGCCTCACTTTGACTGCAATAAGCTGCCTGGGATGAATGTCAGTATATGAGAAAAGGATGTAAAACAGAGAGGTCTCTGTTTCTATAGAGAAAACCCTATGCCCATCTTCCCACGGCCCATCCAATGTAAGAGAAAAAGATGGACAGACAGAGGCAAGAAACAGGGACAAACCAATAGGCTGAAAAAGTCATAGGAGCACAAAGAGATGGAAGGAAGCTGAAACCAACTCCCTCACCTTAAAGAAAGCAAGAGCTGGGCATAAGATCACAGGAATGAGCATAAGAGCAAATTCCCTAGCTTGCTCTGTAGCAGTTTGTTCCAAGGGGACCTACAACCACTGCACTGAGGATTATCGGCCTTGGAGAGAGAAAAGGCGACATAGTCAGAGGTTGATTTTATTTCAAAGAAAAGAGCCTGTACACACACACACACACACACACACACACACACACACACACACACACACCCCCCCGAAATCCTTTTCCCGTTGTTCCTACTGGAGTGTCTACATGCTACAGATCAATACCATCAATGTTTAGGTGATTTCTGCCAAGCAGTTTAAGAGCAGTTTGGGGGTTTCTCTTTTGGGGGGATCTTTTCACATCATGTATTCCAGTTACTATAACAACTCAGGATCTTTATTCTCTGAAATCTGGGGTTATATCATTTCAAAAAAATTCTCTTTCTTTTCATGCCTCACTCTTCACATGTTATTTTGCTTAACTCCTCCTCTTACATCTACTTCAAGCCCTGCCTAGTTCCATCCATCAAAAGATGGACAGGTAACTCAGGCAACAACTGTGGTCTAACACTCCATCAGTCAGAAAAGTCTTCCGACTTTTCACTTTCATCTTTTCAAGTGGAAACGCTACAGAGCTGCATTAAAATAAAAGATGTCAGTCTGCCATCTGCTCCTCTACATACATTTGGATCCTGACTGTTCAGTTGCCAGACTAGTCTTGTAGCTAATTATTTTTCCCTAGCTTTAAACATATATATATATATGTATTTTCTTCTCTAGCTACACTTAACATTGCTTATTATTTATGACAGCTTCCATTACAGTCCTTCTCCAATGCTTCATCATTATACAAAGGAGAACATGGGTTCTTTACAGCTCAGCCTGGGTCTTCAAAATTGGACCCAGCTCCCGACCACGTATGTGTCATCTCAGGCACAGCCTAGCTCGCTATACGGGGAAAAGTTCAGCACCAGACATGTAGCCACCAAAGGATGAATTATTCTGGTGCAGAAGCTATCTCAGGTGTGGAATAGCTGTATTCTTTATCCACATCAAGGAAATCACCCATCTTTCAAAGTGTGGTTACTGTTGTTCAGTCATTTGTGACTCTTTGTGACCCCATTCGGGGTTTTCATGGCAAAGATAGTGGTTTGCCATTTCCTTCTCCAGCTCATTTTACAGATGAAGAAACTGAGGCAAACAGAGTTAAGTGACTTGCCCAGGGTCACACAGCTAGGAAGTGTCTGAGGCCAGATTTGAATTCAGGGAGACTCCCTTCTCCACCTAGCTGCCCCTACCTTTCAAAGTACTTCAGTATTTATAACAAACAACCTAAGTTTCCCCAAACGGCTGAAAGGACAAAGACCAAAACCCTGCATGATTTGATGCTGTTGACAGTAGTTGCCTTGGGGCCCTAAAGCCTACTTATTAATGCCATCATTTACTAAAAAACCTCAACAACTCAGTTCCACGTATTAAAAGTAACTTAAAGACTTTGATCTTAAACACTGTGGAACTGGCAACACACCTACTGAAGGTCCATGTACCAAGCCCCAGTCTAGTTAATAAAAGCCAATGGGAATTTTTGGTTACTGAGGCGTATCACACTGGAAAAAGGCCCAGGTCACTTGGCTGAAACCATCAACAGTTCAAATTCCACTAATACAAAGCAAACGCAAATTCATTTTTGGAACTGAATCCCACAAAGATCAAAATCTCCAGATCATTGGCTGGTCCCCAAAATAACATCACAAACCAATGAGTGCATCTCCAATTTGCCATTTTCCCTCCAACCATATTCTAGATTACAGCCCATAGATAGATAGGAATCCTATCATGGCTTTATACTAAAAGGATTCCCTTCCCATAAGACATCTAGAGAGCAGAACAAACGTTCTTTTGACTAGTGACTCACCAGGCAGTCTGTTCATGTTGACACCTTGGGCTGACAGTCCTATTCCCATGTACCTTAAAAAAAAATAATGTTGGTTAGCATACAATTATCCTTCCCCCTCCCGAAAGCTTCTTGGGGGAAGAGAGGAAGGAGAATGGAAAGAGCAACAAACTAGAGAAAATGGTTAAAGCATCAAGGCTTTTGGGGGAGTCTGAATTCTAATTTTCAAATGGAAAGCATCTTTAAGCAGTGGAAGGAGCTAGGCAATCTATCAAACTGGAAACATCAGGCTCTATTTTCAGGGCTAACAGGCTTCAAGTAATCGACAACTAATCTTCGTTTTTAAATGCCAGCAAAGGTAGCTCCCAGGAGCTGACAAAAACGAAAGCCAATAAGAAGTGGTATTGTACTTACTGGCAAGCAATACAGATGACTGAGTCCCAAGGAAAGTGGCTCTGCAGAAATGACCCAGATTTGACACAGGAAAATAAGGACATAACCTAACTGGATATCGATCACATGATCATGCTTTTTCCACAACCTTCGTAGCCTCTGACATGGGTATTACAGACTCTCTGGCATCCCTACTATTCTGGACATTCAATGGCCTGAGGTTTAGATTAACCTCCCAACACCCTCTAGGGCCCTTCGGAAGGCTGTAAGAGCAAAGTGATCCTCCCTCATGAGCCCTCTCACCATATACAGCTTTCAGCTTGATGGGGAGACACTGCTGACGTTTTTGTAAAGGCTTAATGAGGATAATACGACCATGTCCCTTTCCCTTTCAGATATGACAGTCCTTGAGAGTAGAACCCACCTTAGCACATTGTCACACGGCTTGTCGACTCACAGCATTTTAGGCTTACTAAGCAACAGTACCAAAGACCTAGAAAACACAGCTAAGTTTCACTATTACATCAAGGTTCTAACTTTCTTTTGAGAAAAGTCCCGGAAGAACACAACTACATTTGTAAATGTGTTATCTCCCTACTGAATCACCCCACTTAAGTACCTCTCTGTGAAGTCATTATGGCCCAGAGGCAACCAAGGGTTCGGAAGACTCCCATAAGAACACAAGCTGTGGCTGGAAGGGCTCCGAGTATGGGGCAGACTGTATATGTCCTTCCTCTGGGGATCAGCCTAACCAAGTTTAGTTTGCCCCAAAGATAGCGAATGGTTTGGACATAGTCTTCTCCAAGTACGATTGAACAAGTATTTTACAAATTTGATCTCACTGGAACCTCAAAATAACCTGTGAGGTAGGTAGTGTAACTACTCATTTTACAAATGAAAGAATGGAAGTTCAAAAATTAAAAATGTTCATGAAGCATCTATGTGCTAAAGATTAGGTATGAAAAATTGACAAAATCTGTAGTCATGGCCCTCGAGAAACGTCCAAGCTAAAAGACGGTAAAAGGTTAAATGATTTGTGAAAGTCATGAAGCTGGTAAGTGGCAGGGCCAGGCCCCCAAAGTCTAGCCTTCCTTCTCTCCACAAGAACCCCAACAATGCTGCCAGGAGAGTTCTGTATCATATCTGTACCCCCAGCATCTAGCACAGTGCCTTAAAAGGTGAATGTTGACTGGCTGATTCAGGTATGGAATGGACTCGATGTCAACTATTCCCTTCAACCTTGAGATTGTGATGCTGTCAGAGGCTGAACACCGAACTACCTCCAACTGAATTTTACAGTTAAAATTTCCTCATATAGCATTCCTGGAGCATTTCTCTCTCACACACATGTATGTGTGCATGTGTATATATGTATAAGCACACATATACATATATATAATACATCTATGTAATATACCTACAGGTATTATACATGTATATATATATATGTGTGCACACACACACATATCATTAGTGCTTTAGACAAGCAGGTGAGGAAATAATGGATTCACCAAGCCATACACCAGCAAATCTCAACCATTCAAAACACAGTCAAAACTAAGAAGAAAGCCAAAAAGGCCTCCAAATGGTGACAATATCAACAGGCCTCTAAGCACTTTCGTACATGTTGACCCTGTATCACAAAGGCCACAGACTCAGTAAGTCCTTCAGATTCTCACTCAGTGGTTATTTAATCTTGCTTTACAAATAATTCTAACCACTGTAGTTATTTAGTTTCATAGCCTATGACAGATTGGAAGTAAGTTAGAGGTGTGAAGAGAGGACACTGCTAGATGTAGGTTCACTGCCCACAGTCTAAAATGATTACTGATAGACTGAGAAGAAGGAAGAGTGTAAAAAGCACCTAAGTCTGAGGCCATTTGAGGGGGATAGAGGGAGAGGGTGGTTGGCATGGGAAGCCTTGCATTACAGCATGTAATGATAAATACTGTTCATGATGATGCTAAGTCATTAGGAAAAGGTTAAACTATATTCATTATATTGTTTAAGACAGCAGAAGCTAAAGAAAGATACACACAAAAACTACAGTAATATAAATGAAAACTATACTAAGAGGCAGCTAATCTCAGATTAAAGACTATAACCAATTTTATTTCAGAAGGATAAATAATAAAACACACCTTTCTCCTCTCTATAAAGAGGCCAACACCCATGCTCTCAGATTCAAATGTATTATTGGTTGGTTTTGTTTAACTGTTTTTCTTTGTTAACAAAGGAGGGATCTGAGAAAATCTATTAGAAAATTACTAGTATATAAAACAAAAGGTATCATAAAACTTTTAAAAAAGGAAGTAGAGGTGTATGCAATACATCTTAGAGAGATTTCCATTCAAAACAGTTAAAATTTTAAAAAGATTTGGCACTCAAAGGAATAAGTTTTAGTTATTTGTAAAATTCACTTCTGTAGGAACACTTCACTGCTCAACAATGCCAGATAAATGAGATAGCAATGCAACTCTCTATCATCAATCAATTCAAAGGAAGTCTGCAAGGGGCACTAGATTAGCAGGCTGTTTTAGAGAACAGTTGGTTAACTACAGGTGAGATAAATGATAACACTGAACAAGACATCAAGGGGAACGTGGCTCCTTTTCCAAAAAGTGAATTGTTTGGCAATCAGAGGATGGATGCCTTCTACAGAACCAAGATCTGGTGGTGAAGGAGGTCTCCCTAAGCTGTCCCAGCTGCTCCAAGACCCAATATCTCAATTTGAGCCAGGATACTACCCAGAGACCAAAAAGCACTATGACCTACTCAGTATAAGCAAAAAAAAAAAAAAAGGTCTGACAAGTAATTCTGACAACATGTCACTGAATTTAACAAATGTAGAGAGTTAAAGAAAGATAAACAGAATTTGGAGGAGTATTCCCTACTGTAGAAAGACAAGTATGCTTATTTTCTATAGCAGTCCTTGGACTGTAGAATTGATTTGTTAAAGTCTACAGAATATGCTGATGCTGCAATACCTAATTGGGCCATGCCTCGCTCAAATAAGAGATGCAAACATTTCCCCCCCACACACACACACACACAGAGTCTCTCTCTCTATTTCTCTCAGATCAGCTTAGGGTCCCTCTGTTACTGCTAAAAGCAGATAAACTGCTCCACCAGAGAATTCACCAGACAGCTTTCTCTGTGCTGCCCACAGCTGTTCCTTGGGAAGGAAAGGACTAGAGAGCTACTTCTTCATGTGACCAGAATGGTCACGGACAGATTTGTTTGGTGATCTGTTCATTTATTCATGAGGGCTTCAGCAGAAACTCTCTTTAGCCACCCAACAACTCCCAAAGTTAAGTCATGCTACCTGCGTACAAATTTACTAATTTACCCAGTAAGAGAAACCCTTCAGTCTTCATGATGTTAAAAGAAAAAAGTTTGAGATAAAGGTGCTTTTCAAAACATGGATGAAGGTTCCAATGCAAAAAAGGGCAATTGCCACGCATGATTCTTCATTATCAACAACCATTCACTGAACACCTAACTATGTACAAAGCATTGTGCTAGGTGATGGATTCCCTCAGTAACCTGGAACAGCCTTTGGAAAAGACACAAGGATCACAGAGATCACAGAAATCACAAGATTTAGATCTGCAAGGGACCTCAGTTCAACTCCCTCCTTTCAGCATTCAAAGCCCGTCATAACCTTATTAGCCTGCACATCCAGGTTGATCCAGGGACACCAGCCTCTGGGATCTTTCTTACACAAGGCTGTTTCTCCATGTGTCAGCTCCAGACATTTTCTTGGCTTTAGACATGACTGTCCTCCAAGCCTCTTCCACTGACTCCCAAGCTCCCTGTGTTCCTTTCAATCCCAACTAAAATTCCATCTTCTATAGGAAGCCTTTCCCACCTCCTATCCCAGTGCCTTCCCTGTGTTACTATTTTCAATTCATCTGTGTATAGCTTGCTTTATACATATTTGTTTGTGATTGTGAACTCCCTGAGGGCAGGAACTGTCTTTTGCTAGTTTTTTTTTTTTAATCTCCAGCAGAGTGCCTGATACATAGCAGGCACTTAATAAGTTTATCAATGATTAATTTTATAGATGAAGTAACTAAGGTTCATAGAAGTTACGTAATTTGTCCAAGTTTGTTATTGGGGTCATCAATAACTGCCTCCTCTACTTGATCCAAAGCATTTTTAAAATATAGACTTTTATTCATTCACATCTTTTGTTTTTCTATCCCCTCAAATCCCATTTTATCCATCTACCCCACCCCCCACCCCCCACAGAACCGTTCCTTAGAACAAAAAATTTCAAAACAAAACACAGGAGTAGCAGCAATCACCATCAACAATTACTTGATCCAAAGCATTCAGAAAGCCACGATAAAGGAAAGCCAGGGAGCTCTGAATTCAAATCTAGCCTGTGACACATACTGGCAATAAAATACTGGGCAAAGCCACTTAACCTCAACACCCTAGGGAATCCAAATTTCAAGGTGTGCAAACTTCAGTCAAATTTCAAGAATTTGTATTCACTCAAAGAGCCACACTTGAGGACCTATAGAGCCACATGTGACCTTGAGGCCTGAAGGTTCCCCATCCCTGCCCTAGGCAAATTTCTCTCTGTATATATATTGGTGCAGCTAAGTTGAGGGAGTTCCTCACCAGGAGTTCCCTAAATCTACAAAAATCACACATGCATTCTCCATCTTCA